GACCACTTAGCGACTTGAAACATGTACCAATCGATTCCTGCCATAATTTAGAACAATATTGCCGAAGAAAGTTTTCAAAAATATCCTTTCGTTCGGTCACAACAAAATTTTTGAATTAATTAAAATTTGGACCGAATTAGTAGGCATTTTATGCAACCACACCACACGCGTCATCACGTTCAATAGCTGCGTCATCACGTTCAATGGCTGCGACGTCACGTTCGGCAGCTGGGCGCGCAATGGTTTTTAGTCATGTTACTCTATTGTAAATAAAACATGTAAAATACTGAAAAAAAAATTAATAAAAAATGTTTTAATAACTAACCAATGGTTTTACTAACCCTGCTCTTGATTTACGCTACGACAGAGCCCATTTTTAGATAACACAAGGAAATTGCGCTAAAATTGTCACTAGACTTTTTTTAATTACTTGTTTATCTTTTTGTGTTAGAAATTAGAGACTTAAAAAATTAATTGCCTTAAAAAAATTAAGAAAAAAAATATTGGTCAATATGTCCATGTGGACAATCATCTTGGAATAATTTCTCGAGTTAATCACCTAGTCATGTGTCCAAACTAACGTTGCTCCTATCAGGTTCAAGATTGTTTCAGTTATAGGTTGTAACGGTGATGGGAAACATGTAATCACGTGACAACCGTATGGGAAACATGCACCATCGTGACAATCGGATGGAAAACATTTAACCAAGTGGGAATAGGGTTGGAAATATTGAACCACTTGACAATCGGATAAGGAAAAAAAATATTATTGATATAATGGTGCATTTAAGCTGTTGAAACAAGCAATGCGATGCTTTTGGTTCAATAGTCTAAAGACTAGAACAGGTTTAACTAGACACGATCTTAAACGTATTTGATAAAATAAAAAGTCTATATCGTTTGACGAGTATTCTATTTTATTGGACAACTTGAATAATGATATGCATTTTTTTAATGATTTATATTTCTATAAGTAAAGTGAAAAGTATATTTTTGTGTGAGTGTGTGTATGCTTTTAGAACATGTTCACAATCTATTTCATTATACGATTTTTAAAGTTATTCTTTCCTATTTTGGCCTCAACATTTACAATATTAGTATCCGTTATTTTAGTGTGCTATTTCTCGATTTCAAAGTTTTTACGCATTTTAATCATAGCCCCCTGAAAACTTATAACATCTTCTTTCCTATTGTTCTCATAGCTATGATGCACATTATTTTAAATTTTAAACCATTTTATTTTCACAAGTTGTTTTCTCATTGATATAAATTAAAGGCAACAAATAGTTTCGTATTAACGTTTAGTCACCCAAGCTTTGAACGATAAAATTCCTCTTTAGACCTAGAGATCCATTGGGCGGATGAGGTAAGGTTTAATGTTTTCTTGATCTCGGCGTATAAAGAGGAAGTGTGGTCAGCACTATGCCCAGCCGCTTATACTTTCCTTAACATGAGTCAGGTACCCATCAGGACTAGTTGCACTAAAATACTTTTAGACTGCATGCATTTTAAAAAATATCAAACAGTATAATGTATTTAAGATCTCACGTGTATTTCTCTTTAAAGTGTATCCATATGACTTGAGAGAATTATTACCCGCTTGTTTCCCTTGAATTGTTTTCTTCATCTATGGGAGGTAAGGCTGTTAGCATACAGATATTGCGAATCACAGACCGACAAAAGGATACAGAACACTAAAGACAGTTATAAACAAAATTAATTAGACAATGTACACTTCTCTCAATACCATTTACTTAATAAAAACAAAGCCTAAAATACTTTTTTTTCTTATTGAGTTAAGCGTTTTTAACATCATATAATATTCGGGAGATAAAAAAATGATATGTAAAATACGCGACTATTATATTATTACTCGATTTACGGTGATAAGTGCACTTCAAAGTTTATAATTAGACAGTACTTTTTTTTTTTTTTTTTTTTTTTTTTTTTTTTTTTTTTTTTTTTTAAACACAATATTAAACACAACAGTGAAAAAATGGCAACAAATTTGTCGTCGAAGATTTTTCAACATCTTCGTCTATCAAGCCGCTTAATAGGATCAAGGGCTAGCTCTAATGTAACAGTTTCAAGTGGCTCAGATGTGGAGAACAAGGAATCAACAAACAAAGACATCACCATCACTGTCAATGAGAAGATGGACATCTCAGCTATCAGTGGAGTTCCTGAAGAACACATCAAAACACGGACAGTGAGAATTTTTGTCCCAGCTCGCAATGCCATGCAGTCTGGCAGCTATAACACACGCAGGTGGCGCATGGAGTTTGATGAAAGAGAAAGATGGGAGAATCCTTTGATGGGATGGATCTCTACAGGGGACCCTTTGTCAAACACTGAAGTCAACTTCTGCAGCAAAGAAGATGCCATCGCCTTTTGTGAGAAAAATGGCTGGAGTTGGTTTGTAGAAGAGGAAAAGAAGAAAACCAAACTGCCCAAGAAGTCGTATGGTGCTAACTTTTCCTGGAACAGCAGAACTCGTGTTTCTACTAAATAAACTTTTCTTGTTTGATTGTATTATTTGAATAGAAGAGAAGTAGACTTGATTTCGTTAAGACTTAGACAAATTTGCTTTAATCATTGGATTAAAGAATTATGAAAATAAAAAAAATAAAAAAATAAAAAAAATAATTAGACAGTACACCAGTGCCCAGTGGAAGGTTGTCCTGCCACAAAGCTCTTCAAAACTGAGGCTTCGTTTCAAGAACACTGGAATATCTTTCATGAGCCCAATATAACCATGAGATTTTGCCAGCATTGCTCCGCCTACTTCATGAACAACCCTGAGCTGGAGAGCCACCTGGCCAAACGTCACTCCCTCAGTGAACCAGACGTGGTGCAGAAACTCTTGTCGGAGGCCAGGGTCAAGGTCGTTTCAAATCCGAGCTTCAGAGATCCTGGTCATTTTTTGTCACCTTTTAGACAATAAGTCCTCCCATAACCAACACTCATTTTTCTCATCACTGTACTGTTGTTTGCTTTATTTTTTATCTAAAACTTTATCAATGTCTAAACCATGCTAAAACTTCTGCAGTAAACTGAAGAAACATTAAAAAAAAAATTAAAAAAAAAAATAATAATAATTAGACAGTACAGGGCAATTGAGCCTTGGGATGCAAATGATAAAGAAGAAGTTAGGGAGCATCTAAGTAACAATAGAAATTTCTTAAAGCATTGGGACAGTTATGATGTTGACGGAGAAAGACAAAATGAAATGCTTAGAGAAGCAAGGCATAGAGAGGTAGAAGATGCCTTTGAAGTAGATGGCCAAACTAAAACACATCATACTACTGCAGCATCACAGCAAGTTAACGAAAGCGTAACAGAAACCACCATAGAGGCCGAAGCCATGGAGACAATAGCGATCAGAAATTCCAAGGTAACGGGGTCTCAAAAAGATGGGAATCAAGAATATTTGGAGGCTGTCGACGAAACAATAAATGATATTCTTCAAGATAACACTAGTTCAGAAAACATAACGAAACCGCTAAAGGAAATTAAAAGCTCACAAAGTATATCAGCAGCAAAGGTATCAGGTCAACTGTCATATAGTCAAGCAATCAGTTCAAGTAAAAATCAATTACCTACAGTAAAGCCACCTCAAAGGGTCGTGACCAGGGCCCAACGGGATAGCAAACCAGCGGTTGGAAAGTTTGGCGTTAAAAGACCACCACCATCCAGCCCTCCAGAAACAGATGTTCGAAAGAAAACCCCAAATAATTCATGCTAACTCTGGCAACATTGAACATCAGGGGGGGGGGGGGGGGGGCTAGGGACAAACACATTATATAAACAACATAATAAATAAACACAATATTGACATCCTACTTTTACAGGAAACTAACATTTGAACTACAAAAGAAGCAAATAAACTAGATGCATAATTAATATCGACAGTCTCAAGCTAAACATCACTCGATCAGCCCTGAAGTAAATTAACATTAGAACAGTGTTCTGTTTCCCAGGTTTTTAAAAGTGCACAACCTGAATGGTATAAAGAGATACACACCTCACCCCCCCCCCCCCCCCACACACACACACACACTTCCTTCCACTCAACCGGACTGGCGGATTTTTCAAGGTAGCGTGCCCTCTTTGCCAAGGGTCAATTTTATGTCATGAAAAGTTTTGGAATGATAGATCAGTATGTGTACTGCAGAGACACTTATCCCACGGTCGTTTCTATTTCTGTCCATGTGTGGCTACAATGTGAACTTTTGACTCCTCAGCTAAGGACAAAGCACAGTAAACTAAGCAGTCAAGAGAAACCTAGTTTGCACACCTTATTTTAGTCTAGTTCTTATGCCATTTTATTTTCTCCATTTGATTATTATATATGCAATTGATGTTCATGTCTTTGATGCTGTGTAAAATCTATCAAATAAATAATTATTACTGATTTAAATGTTTAAAACAATTGAATTAATAAAAAAATTAAAAAAAAGGAAAAAAAACTAATTGAGGACTGTATAGATATAGATGTTTGAAAGGGAAGAGTGTTTGCTTTTACGTGTCTCATTGTAATAACATAGCTTTTCCGATTGCTTAAAATTTGTATCATTTTAATTCTCTGTAATACCAAATTCATTTCAGCTCTACTTTTTAAAAAAAAACAAATTCCCCCTCCCCCCCCCCCCTCGTCCCCTCAGCCCACCACGCCGAGAAAAAAAAATCCATTGAATCATCATTTAATTACACATTTGCATTTTCAGTTTCAGGTTGGTTTTTAATTTTTATTTTTTCTTTATATTTAGACGTTTTGTATTAGATCTATGTATAAGTAAACCATCTTAAATGAATGAAAGCAGGCTACAAGTAAGAAAGAAATATTACTATTGTAAATCTGTATCAGTCCTCACAAGCCGATGATGAAAACTGTAATACTAAAGCGAACACACAACTGACGCTATAAATTACGTGTCTGAGGGGGAAAAAAAAAAAAAAAAAAAAAAAAAAAATTAAAAAGTTTTTTGTTTATCCCACTCTATACAAAATGTTTCCTCATGCTCAATGAGTGTTAGATTTGCTTCCACTTCTCCCAAAAAATTTGAAGTTATTAATGTTCAGGATGAAGAAGACTTCAAGAAAAGAGTTATTGATTTAAGTACTGATACACCAGTTGTAGTTGATTTCCATGCAACATGGTGTGGCCCATGCAAATTGTTGGGGCCTAGACTTGAATCTATACTAGCTGAGGGACAGGGCAAAGTTGTGATGGCTAAAGTGGACATTGATGAAATTTCAGAGCTGGCGATGGCATATGGGGTCAAATCTGTTCCAACTGTTGTTGGCATTAAAAATGGGAAAGTTCTAACACAGTTTATTGGTTTGGTTGATGATGATCAAATTCGTACATTTGTTAAAAAATTGGTGCTGTCGTGATTATCCTGATTTTCCAGAGATTAAAAAAATTGTATGCAACATTTTGAACTTAAACTGAACTTGAATTTCCAATGTATTTTGTGTAAAGAACCTTTTAATTTTATACATTGAGAACATTTTTGTAGAAATTTTTTAGTTCTGCTGCTTACTTATTCTTAACTAACTCGTATGATAAATGAAATTTAGAGATTTAGCTATTTGTCATTTATAGAAGTCTTGACTTAAGTAATTTTTTTCTATTTAAGTTAGTTCAGTTGTGAGATTATTTTCTGTGTAAACAATTTCAGAATCGATTTGTTAAATCTTTTATGTATCATGTTTAAATATTTAACCAGGCTATATAGTATTATTATAAACATTAAAATTCTAGCTGTTGAATTAACCATTGACTGTTATTGAACTGACACATTTGTGTCACTGGTACGCATGGAGTGTTGTGATGTTATCTGAATGACTATGTTTAATTTACATGACTAGGCTTGTCCTGTGTACAAGTACATGGTTAAATCAGACTATAATTGTGAATGTGAATTAAAAATTTTAGCCCAAAACCTCAAGGCATTAATGGTCTTAATAAAAAAAATATATAATGTAAAAAAAAAAAAAAAAAAAAAGTTTTTTGTTTATTATATATGCAATTGATGTTCATTGTTCATGTCTTTGATGCTATGTAAAATCTATCAAATATATTACTACTACTGATTTAAATGTTTAAAACAATTGAATTAATAAAAATAAAAAAATCTACCCCCTCCTCTCTCCCCCTCTATCCACTTTACCCTCAGACATGATAACCCCACAATCCCTTTAACTGTTCCAACGACCTCACCACCCACCGCAACATCAATATCCAGAACTTATTTAAAGTTCTAAATCTTGTCTCTTTCCCCTCATCTTTCACACTGCAACCTTTTGAAAACTCAATGCGACCACTACAAAACCCTTTCAACTAGTCAACTTAAGTTGTTTCCCTACATAGAAAATGCTTCACTGTCCCATTGACCCTCTCTAAAAAATTTCCTTTCCTCTCCCCACCCAGACTTCTGACACTTTCATTTGACCTTCACCCCTTTTACTGTCATCCTTTGCAATTTTTTTTATAATCAAATACATGACATCATGTAAATATTCATTATGTACATTAGCAAAACCTTTCGTTTTCATTTGGTGTTCAAAATTATGTTAAAAAATTTGATGTTGATGTACTTGTTTTAATTGCAAATAAAAGTATTTAAAAAAAAAAAAAAAAAAAAAAAATTAAGTTGTTTCCCTACATAGAAAATGCTTCACTGTCCCATTGACTCTCTCTGAAAAATTTCCTTTCCTCTCCCCACCCAGACTTCTGACACTTTCATTTGACCTTCACCCCTTTTACTGTCATCCTTTGCAATTTTTTATAATCAAATACATGACAGCATGTAAATATTCATTATGTACATTTGCAAAACCTTTCGTTTTCATTTGGTGTTCAAAATTATGTTAAAAAATTTGATGTTGATGTACTTGTTTTAATTGCAAATAAAAGTATTAAAAAAAAAAAAAAAAAAAAAAAAAAAGAAAAAAAAAAAATAATTAAAAAGTTTTTTTCCTTTAAAAAAAAAAAAAAATTAAAAAAAAATAATTAAAAAGTTTATATGCAATCTTGGAAGTGGTGCTAGTCAGAAGCATTTTCATTTCAAGAGGAATTGAACTTAAACAATTATGGCAAAAGCATTGAAATTCGCATCTTATACCTCAAAATTGTTAGCTAATGGAAGTGCTAAACTATTACCACTTCAAAAAACATCGGTTAATCCATTGAAGCAATGTATTTCAAAAATTAACAGCAGCGTTTCTGAAAATCTATCTGCATCTTCATGGGCATACAGCACGCTTTCATCAGTTGTAAGGCCAGTCTTTCATTCGAAAGGATGCTGCTGTCCCATGTGCTCTAAGACTTGTGTTGCACCTTTCAGTACAGAAGTGGACAAAGAAATTTCAAAATTTTTGACAAAAGAAATTGAATACGAACAGTCTAAAGGAAGCAGCAGCATTCCGAAGATTCCAGGATTTGAAATTGTTGCAAACGGAGGTGATGTCACTTTAACAAAAACAAGTGGGAAAGAAAAAAATTGTAGTGAAACTGAATGTTAATGGTGCTGTGGACTGTGTCATGTCAGAGAATCCCACTGATAAAGAAAATGATCCACCTCAAATGATCTGTAGACCACCCTTTGATATTGAGATCAATAAGGGGGATGGGAAAAAGTTGGTGATTGAGTGTTCTTTTGCCAAAAATGATAGCTCATACATCGATGAGGAGGCATCTTATGATAAGAGCAGAGAAACAGACCAAATAGATGATCAGTTCGAGATTCATGAAATTTCTTTCCAAGATGAGGGATCTACAGATGGAGGGTACACTGTTTCAGCCTCAACAATGGATGCTGAACTCTTTGAGATGAATATGCTGGATGAGCGCGGCATCAATGATGAGTTTATTGTCCACTTGGTCGACTACTGCACAGCCTATGAGAACCAGCAGTACATTGGGTTCCTCAAGAAGTTACAATCATTCGCTGACAAATAATTTCATTTTAGTATTTGCATTTGTTCTGTAGTAAAACTCATGTTAGTACACTGTATGTTTTATTGCATTTAGGGGCTTGTATCATACTTCACTGAAAGAGAACAATCTTGCTTTAAGTCAAGCAAATTCATTCTTTAAAAAAAAATCTCAAATGTCATTTTTCATTTTATAATTATTTTGTAAATGGTCCATCAATAAACATTTGCTATACAAAAAAAAAAATAATTAAAAAGTTTATCCGTCACCTCAGCCCACCACGACGAGGAAAAAAATACCTTGAATAATCATTTAATTACACATTTGCATTTTCAGTTTCAGGTTTTTATATTTAGACGTTTTGTATTAGATCTATGAATAAGTAAACCATCTTAAATGAATGAAAGTAGGCTACAAGTAAGAAAGAAATATTACTATTGTAAATCTGTATCAGTCCTCACAAGCCAATGATGAAAACTGTAATACTAAAGCAAACACACAACTGACGCTATAAATTACGGCTACAGGACATTACCCCCCCCCCCGAAAATTACCCCCCCCCCGGACATTCCCCCCCCCCCCGTATTTACCCCCCCCCCCCCCCGGGGTCAATTACTCCCCCCCCCCTCAAGTTAAAATCGTAACTCTAACTAGAATTCAATGTCTATATACTACTTTAATCCAAACCTTAACAAAAAGACCAAAACCTAAGCATCCACCTTAGCCTAAAACTTCACACAAAACCAAAACCAACGCTAGACACAACCCTAACCTTAACCCTAACCCTAACCCTAACCCTAACCCTAACCCTAACCCTAACCCTAACCCTAACCCTAACCCTAACCCTAACCCTAACCCTAACCCTAACCCTAACCCTAACCCTAACCCTAACCCTAACCCTAACCCTAACCCTAACCCTAACCCTAACCCTAACCCTAACCCTAGCCCTAGCCCTAGCCCTAGCCCTAGCCCGAATCCTAGCCCTAACCCTAACCCTAACCATAACCCTAACCCTAACCCTAACCCTAACCCTAACCCTAACCCTAACCCTAAACCTAAACCTAACTCTATCCCTGTCCGGGGGGGGGGGGGGGTAATGTCCTACTGGGCGGGGGTAATTGACAGGGGGGGTAATTACTCTGGGGGGGTAATGACGGGGGGGGGAATGTCCGGGGGGGGGGATAATTGACAGGGGGGAAATGCCCTGTTCCCATAAATTACATGTCTGAGGCGGGGAAAAAATATATGCATATATAATTATAAAGTTTATAATAGTCTGATAAGTTTGTTTTGTTTCAAAAGATGGGGAATGTAGATTCTTTAGATAGAGTGCAAATCGGCAAGCTGATGTAAGCCTTGACTCTACTTCACCTAGGTCGCATTGAACCATCTTCCGGCCCCGTACTCGAGACAAGGATTTTTTAATAGCGATCATCCCATTACAGTCACGTGACTCCCGTCAACAGGTCCTTCCAGTAAACTACACCAACCACGGTACGGTCACTGATCGAATTCCCATCATTTGTTTTTGAGAACTCGATTGATGACAACCTTGTTATCAGCCAGGGGCCAGAGGGGGGAGGGTCGGGGAGGGTCGGGGAGTGGTCGGGGAGGGTCGGGGAGTGGTCGGGGAGGGTCGGGGAATCAATGCTAACCACATTTCCTCTCTTCAACCCTGGGTCAAGACGCTACCCACGGGGCTCATGCCGAGAACAGAAATTCAGTAAAGACCGCCTTAATGGTCTGGCTCCGTTTTTCGTAAAATGCTGTAGTTTTTTACTTTCTCGTATATACGAAGTATAGAGAAAGTATTGTAATCGTGCAAAAAAAAAATCGAGATTTTTACAGTTCTCGACGTTTTACACCTCACTGATACGGAAAAACATAATTTTGCAATCTTGTCCGTATGTCTGTGTGTGTGTGTGTCTGTGTGTCTGTGTGTCTGTGTGTCTGTGTGTAAACACGATAACTTGAGTACCGTTACAGCTAGGTTGATGAAATTTCATATATAAGTATTTTATCAAAATCGTAGATCCGTATCAACTTTTGAGCGATTTCCGATAACCGGAAGTGGTACTTTTCCTACTTTGAATTTTTCAAAAGCCTATAACTGGAGTACTATTTCAGATAGATAAATGAAATTTCACATGTAAGTAAAAGATCTAATTCTCTACCTTCTGTTAAATTTTGAGTAATTTCCGTTGACCGGAAGTAGTAATTTACGCTACTTCCGATTTCTCAAAAAACTAATGTAAATTTTAAAAGTACTAATAATATTGCGCACTATAATGCGCTTTTTTATTTGGCGTTCACTTGGTGTGCAATTAATTTGTCTACGAGATTTTATTCTATTTTTAAAACTTTAAGTATTTAAAATGGATTAAAAATTATGTCTATAGCCCGAGTTCCCATCCCCTGTTATTTTATATAAGAATATTCGAGAAAGTTTTGGAGAGATCACTCCTGGTTTATTTTTTTAAGTAAGCATTTCGTATGTCTGATGTTTCAGTTGACTTTTTAAGTAAGCCTAGCCTATGTCTAATGTTAAATAAGCATAGCGTATGTCTAATGTTGTAGTTTT